TATCTGCTGCTGTTTAAATGTTTTAGCTTATCTTAATTCTCTTCATGCATTTTCACCATCTCATTTTGAATTCATTTAGAGATGCATGGAATTTAGAGATGCATCGAGCACATCAGAATTTTCTTGGAAAACAAGACTTTTTGAAAAGGGATTTTAGGGCGATAGTTACGTGGAGACAATCTGAAAGATGATCGTAGTCTTAAGAGAAGCAAAGGAGGAGAGGATTTGTGTATGATTTTGGGAGAACAGAGGGAGGACATTTTATTCTTGCTCTTTTGAGTTCTACTTCATTAACTGAAATGAAATCAGGCATTCATTGTTGATCGTGCCAGTATATAAAATAATAGTGGGAAAAATGCTACAACCAGATGCAGTACAAGAAATTGAAAAGGTTCCATTGTCAAACAGTATAGTAAGTTGGCGTATTGATGACATGTCACATGATGCAGAAGAGGTTTTGTGTGATAAGCTGAAGCTTATTTTGTGTGATAAGCTGATGCTAAGATGTTTAACTCCCTTTTGAACTGAGATTGAGTTGTACAAGATGCCTTGAGGGTTGCATCTAATTCTAACTGAGGTGTTATTAGAATTCCTGAATTAGGAACAGGAGGCACCTGTCCAAATTGGTGTTACTCAACTCCTCTCAAAGGATTGCTCTCAATATCAGGTTGAAGGCTGATTTGAGATTTAGGAAGGCTACTGTATATAGAGAGCAGACATATTCTTGCAGCTAATTTTTTCAATAAGGTGTCGTAGGACCAAGACATGGTCTAAGCTGGAGTGACTGGGATGAAAACCGACCTTTTCATTGCCCAAAATTGATTCTGTCTTTACCCAATGCTGTAATTTGTTTTCCAGGTGGCAGGCATAAAATTTGCTAATGATACTTAGCAAACCTTTTGGTTGATAGTTAGCTGAGTCACCCCATCTCCTTTTTTGAATATGGGCAATATAATGGCAGTGCCCAAATCCTGGGGAATGTAACCTGTGTGGTTTATATATGAAAAAAGAGATGCCAAAACAGTTGCCCACCAGTTGGCATTATCCTTCAGCAGCTCTGGTGGTATAGTATCACTACCAGGGGCCTTACCTGGTTTCAAGGAATCTATACAATTTCTTATTTTTGTAACTGAAACTGGGGGCCATTCAGGAAGAGTTCCTCATTTATTTCAATTTTTAAATCTGCAAGTTTCTGTCAAGAGTTGTAGAAAGCTGTAAAGTAGATTTCCCATGACTCCATGGGCTCTCTGCTAATTAGAGGGAGGAGGTCGTTCCTCTGATGACCTGCTATGATTCGCCAGAATGCAGTAGAGTTCTTATCCTTAGCTACCAGAACAATCAGAATATCAAATTTACTGTATGGTCATTTTGTAAATGTTAAAGATTGTTGATCTTGACCAGAATCAATCTGTAATAAAAGCCATTCCCCATGGAGATGTAATCATAAATAGGGAATTGTTCGTATCCTCTGTCTATTTGTTGACTCGTGGTGAAAGAAGGACTTCTTCAGAGTTTAGGATTCAGGTTTGCGACTCCAACCTCCAAACTGCTTTGCTTCCCAGGTATTCACATGCTGTGTCAGGATTAAAGTATGCCTGTTCTGCTTAGAGTAATGACTATGGCCCAGAAGGCTGAGGATCCATGTGCTGCTTGTGGAGTAAACTTTAATATTTCTCCAAATTGTGATGGAAGAGAAGTGAATCTGAAAGGCAAGATGCTGGGGCTTCAGAATGAGTCCACCATACATGACTAAATCCCTTCTGACCTGGTGTGGCAGCTAACCTACAATTTCCATGCTTTTTGGAGCCCAAGTAAATTGGTAAATGTTTTAATACTTCTTTTAAACTATTAAAAAAACCTATTCTGTTTACATAGAAAGGTATGGTAAAATAGAGGAGGAAAAGACAGAATGTACTTCTGATTATTCTGATCTGGCTGATGTTCATAAATTTGATATTACTTAATAGTATGTATCTTAATAATCTGCACGGATCTGGGGATAGAGGAAAAGGTGACCTGGGATCCCGAATTATGATGGTGAAATGCACAGACAAGTCTGGAACCTGTAAAGAATTTTGTACATACCAGTACAATTCTGCCCGTGTTATTTGGTTTGCATAACACTATTTGTGGTTGTGTAACTCTGTAACCTTATGGAATACAGATGGAAAGATTTCCCATTGCCTTTGAAGATAAGTTCTGAGCAAGAAAGACAACCTGGTAGTTACTCCTGTTCATTTTTTCTGAAAGAAGAGATGGCAGGGCTGGGGGCAGGGAGATGCTGGATCTCCTCCTAGGTTTGCACTTTGACCAGCTGGGCTCTCAGAACATTTCCAGCCATTGTTACACCTAAATATAATGGTTTCCTGGATGAGACAGGATCTCCATTAAATGTCTGCTGTCTAGTTAACTGTGGTTTTCTTAGTAGTTTAGCAAAGGTGACTATAATTGTTTGTAACAATGGCAGATGGTAATAAATATAATCTGACCAGAGACAACTTCTCAGTCCCAGGCAAAAAAATTCAAAAACTCTTGTTACAATCTGTGTGCACATTATCTCAGAAGGAAAAAAAAAATGAAAATCACGCTTGGAAATAAGTTCTGATCATTTAGATTTGTATATAATTAAGATTTTTGAGATGTTTCCAATTCTACATACTCCTTCCAAGCTGGTGAAATACCTCCCTAGATCCTCCTCATTCTAAGATGGCTCTGACCCATTGAGAGGAGAACAGAACTCCCTTCCAAGAAGCGTTCCCTAGGTGGCCAGTGGAACACTGAAATTCTATTTTTAACCATTTTGGGCTGCTCAGAAGCAATCTTCACTTGGAGCCAGAATTTTAGAATGGAATCGTTGGCAAACCTAGGCTTTATATCCCCAAAGTATACTTGAAAGAAATCTGTCAAATAAATAAGAAAGAAATGCAAAACTTTGAGGAAGGAGATTGCATAATTTCCTCTCACTTCCTGACTAAATATAAACTAATGATTTATTACTGAGCCACTATTAATTTTCTTCTAAGGTTCATCATTAGTCTACCTTCCTGTAGAAGTGAAAAACCATTGTTTCTCCCATAGTGCATGGAACAATTGAACTGAATCCTGTTACTGAGGAAAGGGGGTGGTGGCTCTTGGTTGGACAATAGCCATTTCATCTTGCGTAGGCTTCCTCAATCTCACGCTGTTCTCCCCTTGCACGTTTGCTATTGTTGGCTGCCTCCTTCGTGCTAGAAGGGCACATCTGTCATGCTGTTGACTTTGAGCAGGTTGGCTGCTGGCAGTGCTAGCAACTCAGTTCATTAGCTAAAGAGTTGAAATTGGGCCTGCCCTGCTGCTGGGACTTGATTGTACAGAACTTGATTAGCAGAAGGCTTTAAGCTGATTGCGCTTCTTTTCTCTTCTGCTGGTGCCAGCTGCAGTCTAGCAACAAATGGCTCCTTTGTAGAAAATGGTCACCAGGGACGTGACTGAACAGGTTGCTTGTTCTCAGGGCCAGTCCTGGGGAAGCTTAACTGCTGGAAGTTGGTGTGACCAAAATGTGTGGGTTTCTGTTCTTCAGAAATGTGTCCCCAAATCTGGATGGAGTTTAGGATGTATAAGATCTACCCTGTTAATGTATAGTTACTATTGAGTTGGGAGGAAAAAAGGCCACATGTGTCCAGCGGGAGGCATAGGAACTGAGGTTGTTTTGGTATTTCATTTGGAGCAAGGAGAAGTTGATATAGACATAGAGAGAGAAGTTTCCTATTTGTCCTGAACAAATTCAATGCCTGGTTAGTTTTAGACTTTTAATGACCTCTCAGTTTTGCAAGGATGTAGGCAGTTGATTCCAAATGGAGTCACGAAGGGGCTCTGGGATTTTTTAGCATAGCCAGCAGTATTGCTATTTTGTGGAATAAGAATGACCTGAGTGATCAGCACAAAGTCAGAAATTAGATTCTTAAATGAAACCTCAACAATAAATTCCATAGTGCTTAAATATTATAAACACGAACATGAAAACAAAGTTCATTAATCAAGATAGGAAGAAATTTGAATGTAAACTTAAGTAGTTTTTAAAAAATTTTGAACTAGTACACAATATGAAATTCAACTATCCTTCAACATTTTGAAATCTGCACTTTGATTTTTGAAAAGCTGTTCTTCCCCACCAAAAAAGTGTGCAAAAATACATATATTCCTGAAAGTTATGTAGAAAGAGACATTATGGTAGGCAGAATCATTAGCAAAAGTTAGATATGTAGGCACAGTTGCAAAAAAAATCTGTATTTGGAGAAGTTTTATGGCAAAGTTTGGTCTGAACTAACATGAATCCAAAGTACCATTTAACCCAGAATACTAAAATATATCCAGTGGTCATTTCTAAGTTGTTCTTTGCTTGCCCAGAAGGTTCATTAAAGGGAATTATGAATCTCTTTTTAATCTCCCTTCCTGTTGTGCTGTGAGCCGAAATTTGTACTGGCAAATGCCTCTTGGCAGCACATGAGCGATGGGCAGATATGTCAGGCAAAAATGGGTACTGCGTCATTGCATAGTCTGGAGAACACCAATAGGTGGATTTTTTCCCTTTTGACTGGGCTGCCATTTTCCTCTCATATTTGGCTTCTGACTTATGTACGTTTCCATCTCTCACTTTTTTGTGCTACTGTGAAAATGGGTAGTTCTGAAAAATGGCTAATCCAGCCAAGCGATGCAGGGCAATTCTTTGCTTCTTGAATGCAGCTTGGCCTGAGATCTGCATTTGGGGTAAACGCCCAAAGCTGTTAGACAGTAAGGAGATTGCACCCTTGGAATTTATTGTTAAAAATCCCACTTCCTTTTTACACTTTCTGTGGATTGGCTGCTGATTGAACGCTGACATCCTCTAGTTTTCATCCTCCATGACTAGGGAGCTGCTTAAAGTGAGTTCGCTTTATGATCATCTGCACAGATGAAGAACCCAACTACTTATTTAACATTATATTTTTCTTTGACCACATAAAGAAAGTCAGCATGTTTAATACAGCAATTAAAAAGAAAACAATAATCAAATGCAAGGATTATTTAAGCAAATAAGAAGCTGTTCTTCCACAAGTATATAATAACAGAAGGAAAAAAGATTTGCATGTGCACACACCTAAACCTCGAGCCTGAAATAAGCTGCAGATGAACGAGAGCTGGAGCCTTTGCAGGTGCCGGGGAGGGCAGGGCACGCGTCTGCTTCCAAACCGTGGGGTTCTGAAGGAGGGCTTTGAGCGGAGCCGGTCTCCTCGGGGCTGCAGGAGGAAGCAGCACGCGAGATATAATTGGTGGGGTTGTGGGGAAGCAAGGAGAACGGTTGGCGGCTGTGAGAAGAAACATGTGCTTCCAGTGTAGTTTTCCAAGAAATATGTTGTATATGATATTTTCTATCTGAAAATTAAGGAATGATGGGGCAGGAGGAGAAAGAAAGAAACATTGTGATGCCTTACAAAACTCAGTTCAATTAGCTTATAAATTAAAATGATGTGTGAATTAATGAAAGCATTCCAAGTGTACTGAAAAATATCAAAACAGCCAAATAGACCAAAACCCTTTGTCAGAGCCCTGCAGTTTCTATTAATTGTGGACTAAAAGCGTGTGCCCTGTTGACCATCTGATTTGTTATAATTCTCCAGTCTTTTTGGAAGATTTCCCCACTTTATTTCACCTTGCAATCATCCATCAATACCCTGCCCTGCCTATCGTCACTAATGACTCCTGAGCTTGCAGATCTGACTCAACATGTTTCTCATGGATTCCACTCATATTCTCTGCTTGTCCACCCTGCTAATAATATTTTGCAATCGTCCCATTTCCACATGTGTTTCATAGGTACAGTTCCCTTCGACTACCATTGTTGTGCACTGGGGCCAAGGAGGGATCCTCTATTTCTCTGGCCTGAATGGGTCAAAATGAAACCCAGATGGACCCACCACCCTTCTGGGTGGGAAGCCAGCTGTTCCTCATCACATCTGGGGATTGCCATGTTTTTCAAGCTATCTGAAAAGAGATAGGTCCTTTTTCTTTTCCAACTCAGGTTTTCTGGATTTGTTTTACCCAAATATGCTGGCCCCTAGATTACAACATAAAGTTAGTCCCAAAACATATTGATATATAATTTCATTAATTCATTTAATTTGATAAATCTGCAAACTTAATTAACATGGAAGACCATTAAATTCATAGTGGACTGACTCAGTTAAGCTTCTATTGGTTTAAGTGAATTAAAAAAAAGAAGTCTGAAATGATAAATTGGATGATGGAAACAAAGTTTCTTTTAGATAAAAAAGGACATTTTGTACAGTAGTAATTCTAGTAAAAACAATCTGGTTTGCCAAGGGATATTATCAGTAATTGGCTTTGATTTTCCTGTTGCAAATGCTGGTGTGCTTGGAATGGAAGATGTGTTCCACCAACCGAACCAGTTTCTTGATAAATGTGACCTGCAAATCCACAGCCTTCCTGGTCTCGTGGCTTGCAGCCCAGGATCATGCCAACAGTATTCAGAGACCAGATGCTTGTCTGGTGCCTGATCGTTTAGAAAGGGAAGGTGGGTCGGCGGCACAGATCTTAATGGGGACAAAACAGCACTAAGTATATTTTTGTAAAGCCTGTTTAATATTCTGAAGGTTTGCATTGCAAATTCAGGAGAAGGACAAGGCAGGCTGGCAGGTGAAACCGCAGCAGAACATTGCACAGCTTGAGTGGAGTGACTGATGTAGGACACGTGCTCGGGTTTTGAAGATTCACGTGACTGCTGCTTTGCACAGTGCAGAATTTTTCACAGAACATTCAGGCCTACTGGGCATCGAGTGATTTGCTTTACATTTGAGCTATTCAGCAGCTTAATGATCAGTTCTTCCTTTGCCAAGTGGGCATTTGACTTGGTATACCAAGCAGATGCACACAGTTAACAGAATTTCTGCTGGAATGTGCCCAGATGGCAGGGGTAATGTCTATTCCCTGTACACTGAATGGCTGGGTTGCACAGCATGCCAGGCTGTGCTAAACTGGATTGAGTTGAGTGTATTGTGGGAATCCAGCCATTCTCTTAGCGTGTTGTGTTAGGCTGTCTCTTAAAGTCCTTGCATGTTTATTGATCTGGCCAGAGCATGCTAACAGTACACAGCAATCATGTGTTAAGTGTGGAATTACTGTATTGTGGAAGCCAGCAGATGTATAAATAGAAGAGTAGGACAAAGCTAGTGGCACAGAGAGTACATACGCTTTGGCATAGGGTATTTTGAATAGATACATGTAAAGGCTGAAAGAAAGATATAAGAACCAACCTCCCTCCCTCCCTCCCTTATATAATATAGGCCTGCGCCATTTGCTATCCCCTCGCAACCCTCAAGAGAGCCCCAGTGAAGCCCCCTCCTCCTTGGCTGGCCCACGGAACTGCCTGCCACCTTGCTGGGGGGAGGTGGAACAAAGGGAGCCATGGACCGTGAGGAAAACTGCACCCCTGCTCCCCATTGCTGTGTGTCCCCAAGGGCTCTCTCCCTCAAGGGAGGAAGAGGGCTCACCCATTGACCAGCAGCATCCCCCAGCCAGCCCTACCTCATCAGCAGGCATCCGAGTTGCTCCCTCATCCTTCCCTCAAGGCCCACAGCTATTAAGAGATTTCAAATTTCTGCCTTGTTTCCAAAGCAGCCAATTGCCACTTGCCCATTGGGTCTTGCTGCCAGCTGATTGGGCTCAGGGGACAGAGGGAGGTGGGAAAGAGGTTGGGGATACTCCCATAATGATCACATGTCCTGGGCTGATCATGGTGGTGGAACAGCACAGCAGTGCTGAAGCAGCCACAAATCCCTCAAATTTCAATCTCACAGGAGTCATGGGTTCTGCTTTTGGATGCATTCTGCAAGTTAGCCCATTTGAGGTACTTTGGTTCAAAAATTGTTGCCCTAAGATTTTGCCCAGTTGAAGGTTATAGACACAACAGTTTTAGTAGTATATAGATAGCTTCCAGGCCACAGAGAGGAATATAATCACTGGGATTAGGAGCAACATTTCTGGCTCGTCTTTGCAGAAGTTGAGATGATGATAGGAAAGTATCTGCTTTGCTTTGCAGAGGCTTAATGTACCAATTTACAATCTTATTTTCATGAAAAGCACCAATCACAGCACTGTCAACTTTGCTGTTGAATTTTGATCATGCAGACTTGGGATGTTGCATATTGAGGGCCAGGAGGCAATATCTGATCTAAATCAGTGGACATTCAGCAGAAAACGAGCTCCCATTTTATTTTTCATCGACACAGAAAATTTAGGCCTAGAAGTACACTTCTCACCTGAGACACACTTTGCTCCAGGAAACCTAAGGTCTTCCTGTGGTCTTTGGTACTTCTGTTACTTGTAGCTAACAGGCATCTGTTCTCTGGTTGCCTCCTCAGCTCGATGCTTCTTCCTCTCTGCTCCTTCAGACCTTTTTACCTGGGGAAGCCAGCCATAGGTGCACCTTTTTGTTTTTCAGCCATACCTTAATTCAGCCTGGAAACAATTAATTACATCATAGTTAGGAATGCCATGCGTTCATTCAGTGCAGTGCTCCTGCATAGCTTATTTTCTTCTCACAACTTTGTTCTTCCACACTCACACTCGCAGCAAACACACCAGTGATGCATGTTAGTATCACAGGAATGCCCAGTTCAAGATGTTTATTGGCAGCTCTTTGTGTGTACTTGATGTGGAAGATGCCCTCTGCCCCCTTGGCGTTCCATGGCATTGAAAACGGGAAGAGGGTAGAAACCAGTTCTCTCTCGGACTTACTGAAGAACTATTCTAAAGGATGTTTTTTTAAAAAAAACTGCTTGCGAACAGGAAATATTTGCTAAAAATATCACATGTGTGATTTTTAAAATTGTGAACACAGCTTTCTTCAGGCAAAAGGCATGCAAACAGATGGATTTAAAATCTCCAAGTCAGTGGAGAAATCTGTGTTCCACAGACCTGATCTTTTCTTTAAAGTCTTAAGCAGTTTTCTAAAAGGCAACAGCAAGGCAGCCAAATAAAGCTCAAAGAAAATACCAGAACTGAAAAGAGCCTGTCCCAGAAGAAGCCAGCCTCCTATCAGGAAGGCCATCCTGGCTGATCCCAAAGGCCGCAGGAGGCACAGCCCCTTCCCTTTCGTCCAGAGGCAAAGGAAGATGGGGAGGTGCTGAGCCTTTGCAAACACACCGTTGCAAACTGCTGTGGGCTGGCTTGCTGACAGCATAGCAGTATATAAAAATGTCACATCAATTAAGAGATTTCAGTCAAATGAGCTCCTGTGCCATCTTCACACAACAGGTCTTTGGTAATATGCAGGAGAATCTGTGGCCGGTCCCTCCCTCTGGAGAGGGTACAGTGTGTTAGCCAAGCTCCAGTTGTCCTTCTCTTCTTCGAGGTAACTTTACATTTTGTGAGTCAAGTCCCGCTGACCAGGATGCACAAGCCCTGGTTTCAGGCTGTCTGTCTGGCCATCTGCTGCCCTTGGCATCCTGTTTTGCAATGCTCCTTGCCTTCTTGCTAAAGCGATTGCTCTTTGTCTCTTGGACACCCTGTGTCACGTTTCAAAACCAAGACATCCTTGCCACATAGGGAGGAGGCTTCTGGAAGGAGATCAAGGAAATGCCCTCCCCCAAACCTTGCACGGTTGCCACTTCTAGTCTGAAGGGATCACGTTGGCAGCATGGCTTCCTGGTTAAGCAAAAGAGACTAACTCAGGGGCCAGCTCCGAGTCAGATCTCAGCAGTGATTTTTCTGCAGATAGCAACCATTTTGGCCTGCCTCAGGGGGATGTTGAGAGCGTTTGGCCAAGACGAAAAGTGTCCATTGGCAAGGGAAGGTTACTGAGTCCCTTGGGGGCTCAAAAAAGGGCTAGGACTAGGTGAATGCAACCAGCTTACCCTTTCAACTCCCTTTGCAGCACTTCCCTGGGAATATCTCAGTGGCTTAAGGAGTACTTACACCTGAGTAGACACACATTCAAGTTTGAACAGTAATCATCCATACGTCCTGCTTGTCATTGTTCCTGCAAACAGATTAATTCCCTTCCTCACTGCAGCTTTTCTCCCTTGACTGCGTCACCTTGTTCTTGTAAGACTCATAGAACGTGTATAACAATTCTCCCCTGCTCCCCCCCATTCCAGAGAACAAACCTCTTCTGGAGCAACAGCTGACTCGATCCTCTGCTCCATCACTGGAAATTAAGGCTGGGTTCCTCCTCTGCCACTAGTGGAGCCCCCAGATAGGAAAGTCCAGCCAGGATGAACAAGCTTGAGCCGAGAAACAGGCTGAGCTCCAGGAGAGAGAGTGTGTGAGGGTGGAACCCGCCCAAAGCACAAGCCGTCCTTTTTCTGCAGGCTGTGCTGCTCCTTGCCCAGTGAGGATAGGCTTGGGCTGGTGAAGGAAAAGTGGGGAAGGTAGAATAAAACTTCTCTTCTGGCATAATGAAAGTCGGCAGGCCGAGGCTTCACCTTGGGAGCAGCGTGGCAGGAGCAGGATGGGATTCTTGTTAAAGGGCTGTTAGCGATGGGCGGCTTTTTCCGGGCTGTCCTTTGCAGTGCAGGGCAGGATGAATCTGCGAGTGGCCAGTTATGCAGTACTTAGTAGCTGTAGACAAAGGAAAGCATTCCTTGGCTTGCCAGAAGTGTTCCAGGTTGGAGCAATTGGTGTGTGTGTGTGTTTGGTACAATAAGGACAGTAGGGCATGAAGCTCTTTGGGGAAGGTCAGAATAGGACACTTTGACATGGAGATGTTTTGCACACTTCTTGATGGAAGACAGCCGGTGGAACAGTGAAAAGTTGCAGACGTGAAACTCTGCCCGCAAGACACCCGAGCCTCTGACACTTGAAATTCCTACCATTAGGTGAAGAGATTAAAGATGAACATCCATTAGATTCAAATTTACACGTGTGTGTGTGTATATATGTGTGTGTACACACACACAAACACACACACACATTTTAGGTGATTTGTGTAAATTTACCAGCAGTTACTGAATGGGGCCATAGAATCAAGATGTCCCCATATTGTACTTTTATATTGCCCAATAACATGAATATTATAAGATACAATCAGTTAGATCACTTGATGAAAAAATAAAGTGATATATTTTGTTAGATTTGATTTGCACCCTGCTCCAGGAGCTCAAGGCCTCCTTTCCCTTGTGTGCCAGGCTCACCTGAAGGCCCCCCTTGCCCAGAGCTTAGCATCTCCCCTCCACTTTCTGATAAACCCTGACATCAAAAACTGACCAGCCTGTTACATCCTTGTTGTTGTTGTTTAATCCTGGGGCCTTAAAGTAAGGTGGTCCAGGTTAATTTCTACCTACACCCTCCTGTGAAACATGAAACATGAGGTAATTATGGAACATAGAAAGAAACACTTGATTTTATCCTGAGCAAATACTCAAAAAGGTTTTTCTGAGCTCTGAACGCATTGCATGCCTCTGCTGTCTTAAAAGTAATTCCTGCTGTTTTCCTGCGCGGATCACTTCAGCAAGTAGGATGTAACCTAGACCCTGGATGAAGTGAGTCCTTTTACCCTTAGGAGAAACAGCTGTTCTCCTCCTCCTCCTCCTCTTCCTCCTCCTCCTCCTCCTCGCTTTTGTCTATCTCATCCAATGTATAAGTGGAACTAAAAAGACGATGGCATGGAGGGAGCCATGGAAGGAAATTGGAGCTAACTTTGCTCCTGCTTGTGGAGGAGATATATTGTTCCTCTTGAAGAGGAAGCAGTCCCCCCCATGAAAAGATCTTATGGAGGAGAAAGCTCATACTATGCCACTAACTTGTAGATTTATGCTATAGGGCTATGTAAAATTCTTAACATTCCTAGGAGTCAACATCTAGGAACTTTTAGGAGCTCTGATAATCAGGAAGTGGGTGTATTCCTGCTGTAACTTTGTTCATGTCTGACTTGGTCTGGTCTGGTACCAGCAACCTGTGAACTGGTGGAATTCCAAGTAATTGAGGTAACTGTGGTTGTGACAAATAAGTAACCAAATTGTTTGCCTTGACTTGATCTACCTTTCCTTCAAGCCAAAGGAAGTCACTGCATTATGTGGCTACGTAAAATTGCTGATTGTTCAGTTTTGCAAGAAAGCTTCATTGGTCTGAACAGAAGGTTTCACCTGGCACATTCCTAATATCATAAAACCAAGGGGAATTTTTTTATATACTATGTTTCCAAGACAGAAATAGCATACTCAAGGTTTTGGAGTATTCCCATATTTCTTTTTAAAAGCACTGAAGGTTTGTTTGCCCTCCTGACTTAGTAGATGCCCAGACACCATACTTTCCAGTCAGCCACAAGGATCTGGGGGTCCCCACATCTTCAACAGACGCAGCAGTATTACCACAAGCCTTTCAGCTTCTGGCCTGGTCTTGCGTGGAGGGATCCTAGACTTGTATTCATTTTGGATCAGAGCTGAGAATCTGAGAGAGAGCTCTGTAGAACACACATAGCTTGGACTTATGAGCCATCCAGAGTCAGTTGACAATTGAATAAATAAATAAACTCAAATCCTCATTTTTTTAATTCTCAGTCCCTAATTGATTGATGGATGGAAAACCGTGGTGGTTAGACCTCCTCATTAGTTGAGAAATTAAGGTTTCTGGGAAAGTAGAATGGAGAAATGCTCTAGGGGTTATGCATTTGTATCAGGCTGCTTGCTGGGGCCTTTTCATGTAGCCCTCAAACAGAAGAGGAAATATTCCACTGGTACATTTCCTTTCAAAGCTATCTCAGATAAAAGCACTCTAACTGTGGACTTCCCCAGACGTCTTTGACCCATTGTAGCTGAATGGAAAACTGATGAAGACCTTTATTCTCCCTCCCATCTTCCTTTTCCTCAATTTACCAGATTAGCAAACGTTTTCCTGCTCTGCACTGATTCCCCAGGCAGTCCAGAGTCTGTTCTTCATTCTTCCAGTCCTGTTCCTGCCACATCTCCCAGGTACTATCCTTTCATGGGCTTTCTTTTCTTATCTGAAAAGAAAAGAAAAGAATCCATGGATGTCTTTCATTCTCACAATTTATGCTGCTTATAGGTTCCACCTGTTCTTAATTTTTGTCTTTAACTATCTGAGTAGAATTTGTAGATCAGATTTTAGAGCCGGTTTCAGAGTCACTAATGAATTTTTGGCCCGATTGCGTGGGATGGAGAATTTTTATCCAGAGCAGATTGAGCAAGCGAGAGGGAGAAAGATTTGCTTCCTGCTCTTGCTTTCACACTGTGCAAAAATTGACCCAGTTTTTGTCTTCCAGTTCTTGCCACTCTTGACCGTGCCTTGGTTCCGGGGAATGCTTTCTCCACTGCCTTCTGTCTTGATCTTGTTGTTTGTCAAAGATTCAGCAAAATTTGGCTGCTTATGTAACATATAGAAAGTATATGCAGTGATATCTTTAATTTATATTATTTTGGGCCAGTTTGCCTTAGTTAAAGACAGACATTTCTAACCAAACCCTTGACAATTGAGCATATATTTCAGAATATCTCCAGTTTCCAAAAGGTTGTTATGGCTGTGTTAATCTTTTCACTGTGTTAAATGTTTTACCCTATCTCTGTGTTTTTCAGGATATTAACCACCACCCCACCCCGATACGTAGTTTAATTCAGTAAAACCTAAAACAAATAGAAAGAGATTAAATGATCTGGAGGAATAATAGACTTTTGCCTTGTACCAAACAGATAGCAAATTGGCACTCCAGGGAGCTGCATTCGCTGAATTAGTTCTTCCCCTAGTTCACCCAGACAGCATTTTTCTTAAGTCATGTTTGTAGTGAAGGAACGGGCTCTCCAGGCCGGTATCATAAGTCTGCCTGCAATTAGCCTCTGCAACAGGATTTCCCGGTGCCTAAGTATGGCAGATACGTCAGCCTTTTCCAGTGTGCATGCATTCTTTACACCAAACAGAAGAGCATTGATATGCCTAAGCCATGAAATAGCTCATATTAAACTTTGGAAAAGCCATTTATGTTGGGCCACATGAGAGCAACAGCTGATCCTTAGAAAAGCCTGCCCACATCTGCCCACTCTCCTCTTTCACAGCTTTCCGTGATGTCACATATAGGCAGCTTTGTGATGTGGCTTTTTTTCGACACACGACTTGACTGTGTGCCTATTTTAAAGGAGGAATTTAGGATCTTACAGTTAAGATTCAGAGCCTGGGGGTTTTGATGCTTTTATAAAAGAAGAGACAGAGAGAGGCTTGTTGATTGATTCTTTTCTTTTTTAAAGAGCACTCAGAGGTCTGTGAGGTACAAACCAGTTGGGGTTGAGGGAGGGGTGAAGAAAGTAAATTTAGAATTAGGAAGCCAAGTGCCTGCAACTATAGAGTCAGCTAATAACTTGAGTTCCAAAAATAAAGGCCACATTCTACAAGATAGGAAATACATATTCATATCTAGCACGCATTTCTTGCAGGGAAGGGTAAACTCTGCTCTATAAATTAAGTCCATTAACTTTCCTGGGCCACCTCACAAATAAACTTTGTAAAAGAAGGCATGACATTTCTTCTAGGCAGTTCGAGCGGTGAAGGTGACCTGATTTGCTTCACTGAAGCAAGGAGACCACCCAATTTGCCCTGATGAAGTGGTAACCAAAAGACTTCCAGGCTGGATGGCTTCCAAGCACGATGCTGATTCTGGCCAAGAGGGCTCTGAGGATGGGTGGTGGGCTGTGTCATGGCATGTGCTGGAGTCATCCCCGTAGCCCCCTCAGCTACAGTCCTGGTGGCATTGCTGCACATGCCGGAAACACTGAATTGAAAGCCCTGATGTGGAATTCCCTATAGCCTGCATGTGAGTCACCTGGCTCAGGAAACCCCTTTGTATATACCAAATGGCCTGGCGTGCACAGGTATTGAATACATTATAAAATAAATAAAAATATGAACACTGTGTTAAAGCTCCAACGGAACAGGTTCAGGTATAGCAAAACAAGTTTCCTGAGCTTTGAGTGGATTCTTGATTCTGCAGTTCTTTATTACCAGGCAGTCCCTGGGTTGAGGACACCCGGTTTACAGATGGCCCATTAAGAACAGAGCCTATTGTAGCAAAATCTGAGTTAAATACACTCCGACTTACATAAAAATTCAGCTTAAGGACAGACTTTGGGAACGGAACTCATTCTTAAACTGGGGACTGTCTGTATCATCTTTTAAACAGCTGATTGCTCAGTTAGATGGTGGTGCCCAGGTGTCCTTGGCTGATCTGGATAGGAGGCTGGACTGGAAAGTTAAAAAGCATCCCAGAAAACAGCAGTGGCGAACTGCTTCTGTACTGCTGCCAAGAAGATTAGGTAGCTGTGTTCATGAAGTCGCCCAGAGTTTAGTTCAGCTTGAAGGAGATGCTAGCTTTACCATATGCGATGGGCAGAGTTCTTCCACACAGATACTTTTGGCAGGAAAATGAGCCTATCCCGGGGTGGAGGCAGCGGGTTCTTTGCTATCTGATATGTGTTCTAAGTGTACGAGCTCCTGAGTGAAATGTTTTGGGCTTACGGTTGCAGGGACTTTTGTGGGGTCCCCACAGCTAGAAGATCAAGTTAATGAAATTAATTAAGGTGAAATTAATGAATGTCTACCATGTCTTCCTTTCCCCAAGGGCAGTTTGGTCAGACTTTAATAGATTCAGTTCAGAGCTGATATGGAACAAATTGATGTTCCCAAAGAGAAGCAGCAGCCAACAGCAAACTGCTCTCACAGAAGAGCTTGTCTCGGTCCGTCTGTGCAGATGCAGGCTCCTGTGTGCCCAAGTCCAAGGACAGGCTTCCTTTTTAGGGGACTCCTGTCAAAACATTCCACACAGGAGAACTCTGTGCACATGAGCTGGATTTGTATCTTGAAACACGCCAGCGTGGACGATGCCAGCAGGTCAGCACAGCAGAGAAAAGCTGCTTAATCCGGGACGTTTGACAATCACAGCTGTCTTGGAGCTCAGCAAGCAGGAAAACATTTAAAATCTGAAGCACTGCCACCCTTTTCAAAGCTGGGTGCCTAAAACCGAGGGTACCACGCATGGATTTTAGTTAATGCATAATTTGCTACCTCAAGGAAGAAAAAAAAAAGAATGGGAAATAGACATCATACCACCACAGCTGATTCACTGCTGGATTAGCAGAGAAATAGTAAAGTCATTTGTAAATCTAGCACATACAGAAAAGCAGTAGTTAATACTGTTTCGGAATCCTGTATGCATATACATTTATGTTGGACTGTATTGGCTTGGGGATATGTGTATATATGTCTGTACACACATACAGGCTGTTTAAAATAAAACAGGGGAGTGTTAGTCGTGCACAGTTGACTGTGCAATGGAGTCAGGGCTGACTCAGAGCACTTTGGTCAACCCTTTGGGAGGGGCAGGAAAACTCCTGAAGTCTCTTGACTTGGAGGGAGTGGCTTGGATAGCTTTGACGCTGGTGTCCAGAAAGACATATTTTTTTCCATATGCCTGCCCCAAATTTCTTTGTTTTTTGCACGTGCAGTCTGGGTGGCTGAAGAACTTGATACAAAAACAAACTCTGTTCTGATAGTCAGAAGGGCTGGCTTCTGCCTCTTTCCGGCAAACCCTCCCCCCCGCCCCTGGCCTACATCCAGGGCTCTGTGGAACAGCAGGAAGGAAGGAAGGGAGGAAGGAAATGCCTGGTTTGGAGTTCCCATTCCAGTGCTGATGTGAAGCAGAGTTCACCAGGATCCCAGGCCTGCCTGGTTAACACGCCCATGTTCTTTGCTGCACTGGCAGAGAGCTTGCCAGGCTGGGTCTGCAGAGGTGCTTTGATTCTGCCTGCTTCCTTCCATGTGCTCCTGGGGAGCAGCAAGCAACTATCTCCCGGAGGGAACAGTGGTTTTAAATCTACCTTGTGCTTCCTAAAAGCCCAAGAGGTTGCCTGGATGGTGGATCTGAGACCTGCTTGGCTTCGGTCTTTTATTGTCAGCGGCTCTCTGCCTCCAGGTGTGAGCTTGCTTGCCCCCTGTGCTCTGCAAGAGATAATACACCTTGTGTGCCTGTGTCTTTGCTTGGAACATTGCTCTTTTGGTGACTGAAAATGCATAACGCAGCTGGAGGATCTCCGTGTAGCCGGATCCTCTTCAGCTGACTATTGGAACTGTGTTTTTTTTAATGGTTTTTGTTTTCCCAAAGACCAAGCAGTGATGGGCGTAGTCAGCTCTGTTTTCCAGCCGGGAGCCTATATAAGGAGACACTTTTGGGCCATCATTAGGTTAACTGTGTATCCCAGATCCAGAGTGTACACTAAGGTATTATTTCTGAAAATCAATGAGGAATTATTACTAAATTAGCATTTCTGTCTCCAAGCAAATTTTGAAAAAAAAATCCTTAGTTGTGAAATAGATAACTCATCCTAACAGAAATTGATCAGGGCTGTCATGCAGCTATCATGTGCAGCTGCTGTGAGATCCTATTACTTTGGGTTAAATTCTTGAGTAATCGGTGGAGGCTGCCTTCTGCAGTAACTCCAGTTGGCTTGAGAGTCACAACACAGCAGGGGTTGGCTAAACACTGTTGGTCTTCCAGAATCAGTGGAAGGGCAAGGCTGAAGAGTCTGCCTTTGTTCTCTTTCTTGCCCCATGCTGCTCTTCTGCTGAACTTTGGCAAGTGAGTGACTTATTTTGTTCTGGTTTGAGTGGTATTCTACAGAGCAATATCGTCTTATAGTCTTGTTCTATTGATTCATCCCAGAGTCATAAACAGTGGGCAGCTCTTGAGTCTGATGCACAAGAACTTCACCTTGGAGGCCACATTGGTTGATGCTGTGCAGAGGATTCTCTGTTTAACCGTCCCGTCCCTGAGCCAAGAAAGGCTCCTGCTGAGACTGCCTTCATCCCATCCTCTGGCCTTGCTTGAAGACAGATTCCATGGCAATTCACACTAGAGAATCGATTGCCTCTCTTGTGTTAATCCATCTGGCATAGTCATTTCAATCCAGATTATACTTTGCGCAGCCATTTTGAGAGAATCATAGAGATGCCTTGCCTTAAAAGGGCTGTGTAGGACTCATGTGCATAAAGATCAGTGTTTTGCTAATAGTGCAACAATCCTGGTGTTGTGGACCCACTGCAGACTGCTGTGGCTTAATTGATTTGGAACAGAAAATGCTGTCCTGGAAGGGGTGGCTCCTGCTTGTGGGGTGTTGAAGCAGCTCCTCTTTTTCCGGAAACCCAGAATGACTTAAGCAGTTCTCTTTTAGATCCTTGTGGCTTGTTAAGCACAGTGACCCTGGCTGTGATGCGGGCTTGCATTTATAAAATCAAAAGAAAAAAGAAAAAAAAGCCAAGTACTGTATCTATTGTATCTTCCTCAATATTTGTGAACCACCTGGACAGCTCCCGTGTCATCTAAATTCCTTCAGTGCAATGAAATGGGAGAAATTGGGTAGTTTTAAGGTCCAGATCCTGAAGTTGACTCTGCTAATGTTGCAATATTGTTGTGAACACTTACCTGAAATTAAATCCTGCTGAACCCAAGGAGGATAACTTTTACCAAGGTATGCACTGAAGTGTATTGTAAATGGATAAATTCTGTTAGCTAGCAGGCGTAGCAAAGGGCATTCTGAATCCTGGGGTATGGTAAATAAGGGTCCTACCCAAACTGCACATGCTATGGTCCTGATTTTAACTCCCCAATGTATACTGTATACAGTGTGGGCATTACTCAAAAGAAAAAAAGAGCTACAGTTTTCATATTAAGTAGTCCTGAGCTTAAGGTATCATGCATTCAGTCTTGCATTCATTGAAAAAATGCTAAAATATTAAGCTGGTCTAAAGCCCTTTTGAGGACACTCTGGTTTATAGTCCAGAGAAATTTTACCTTCACTAACCTGCAATTAACTATTTTTGCACTGCTCTCCTTCCATTGTTTTCAGTTAAGTACAATATGTTTGGCAGATGCAAAGATTATGAGTTATTTTGCTGCATCACCTCATCACTGTTCCTTGGCTTTCTTTCAGAAGCTGAGGCCAAGGAAGCTTGTGCCTGGCTGCGAGCCGCTGGATTTCCTCAATATGTACAAATGTATGAAGGTAGGAAGCTTCTCTGGTGTTTCTGCAGGGCCAGCTGGGATAGTGTGCACATTAGGAGCGAGCACTCTTCACCACAATGGGCATGTTGGTTGCTTTGCAAAAATTTGTCGAGAGTGGTCCCTGCATTCATCCTTGAAGTAATCAGATGGCCTTTCTTGGCCCCTGAGACAATGAAGACAGTGATTGAATTGGGTGGGTGTTATTTATAGCTGCAGTTTTGAAATCTCTGGAAGAAGATTTTGCCCCCTCCTCTGCTGTAATTCCCCCACTTCCCATTGTCTTCCAGTTGGATTCTGTTACTCTCTGCTTGCTCATCTCCACCTTTGCACACTTTACGTAGACTTTCCATCTGGGTCCGGCCATACCAGCCTTTCCCCAGCAGCTTTTTGACTGTTTGCCCCTGCTTCTTCTTAATGTGGCCAGATACTCCTTCCTGTTAAGTTGAAGCTCTTGCCACACTCCATGTAGTTCTGGTTCCAAAGCTAAGACCAGGAACATAGGCTACCAGTTTGAAGGAGCAAGCAACACCAACATCAAGAACTCCAAGAAGTGTTCCTGGTCCAGGGGCTGAAGCTGGATAGGAAGATTCCCTGGGTGGAGGGAGCCTACAAATGGAAGCTTGCATTGGCTTGTCAAAGACTCCAGATAGCCTGGCCGCAATACCAGGCAGTGTGGCTGCTACACTAAGAGTATATGGCAAAGACTTGAACTCAGTGGCCATTCAGAAGTTGCTGGACTGCAACTCCTAGCATCCCTCAGTCATGGTCATGATGATGGGGCTGCCTATAGTTGTAGTTCAGCAATCTCAGTTGTCTGACTTTTCCTGGGCAGTAGGAAGCGATCCTTTAGCAAGATTCTTTAGAAGCAATTTCACAAGAAAAGGATCCATAGAAGGATTATGCTTTCTTTCTGCCTTTGCTTATCACACATCTTCCCAAAGATTCTGTTCAATAAACCCAACATTGACCTCTTGCCTTGGAATGGTGGGAGGGGGGACTTTTAAGCTTTTAGGGATAGATAGAATGAACTGAAGAATTCAGGACTGAAATTTATGACTTCATTAAAAATGTAGCAAACAAACAAACAAAATCCTGAAATACAAAAAGCATAATGGCTCTCTGCTAATAAGTTGAAAATAGCTGAAGAAAGGTGGAAAGCAAAAAGTAATATTTGCCAAAATAAGCACTGAGTTCCAGAGAAAAACAAGAAGAGAGAAGGAGTTATATTTTATTTGTTTGCTTGTTTGAGAATAACAATCAAATGGGAAAGATAAAGGTTTTTGTTTTAAAAATTAAAGAAATAAAGGGAACTTTTATGCAAACATGGGCCTGATAAAGACAAAGAAGGTAAAGATCTACTGAAGACACAATGAAAAAAACCCAGCATGAATATATGGAAGAACTGTACAAAAGAGATCCCAAAATTGATGAAACATCGATCACTGGACTGGACCCAAACATTCTGGAACATGAAGTTTAATGAACTCTAGAAATATTGCTGGCAACAAAGCTATAGGAGTTGATAAAATGTCAGAAGAACTGTTTAAAACCTTAATAGATGATGCAGTTAAAGTGCTAATTGCAATTGTAAGCAGATACTGAAACCACAGTAGTAGGCAAGGGGCTGAAAATGTTAATTTATATTCCAATATCAAAGAAGAGCAGTGGTGAAGAATGTTCAGACTTCTGAACAGTTGCCCGTATTTACAGATTTGTAAAGTAATGTTCAATATTTTTAATCCAGACTTGAAAAACACATGGAATGAGAAGCATCAGATGTTTCAGCTGGATTCAGAAGAGGTAGGGGCACCTGAGAACACAGTGGTAATGTTTGTTGGACATTGGAAAAGCCACTGGAGTTCTGAAAAGAAGTTTATTTCTACTGTATTTATTATGGTTTTGATGGAGAGCTGTTAAAAACATGGGGGTATTGTACTTCACTTGTGTAATGAAGTATTTGTATGATGACCAGGACACAACAGTTAGAATGGAAACTGGAGCAACTAAATGGTTCAAAATGAGGAAAGGTATGTATCAAGGTAGTATACTGTCCCCCTGTATAACATGCAATATGCTGGACTAGAAGACACAGAAAGTGAAATGAGCCTTTGACATGTAGGTTACTTGCAGGAGCAGAAAGAGCATGCACCACGGCTCAGCAGCAACCCCAGGAAGAAAAGGTTTGGAAGAACCACCATGGCACAGCAGACACTAAAATTTGTACTTCTTTTTGACTGAGGACTGGGGTATTGGTGGCAGTTGGATCAGGCTCAAAGGGTAAGGATGGAAACGCTCCACCTTTAGCATTTCTACTGCCTAAGTACATGGGATACCAAAATTGATGAGGATTATTTCATATTTAGAGACTGTGAAACTCTTAGAAAATGCCTTGACATATTCTGGCATTATCATGAAGTTGTCATTCCACAAAATTGCTCAAATGCTTTTGTTCCATCATGTAAATAATTATTTATTTTCTTAATAAATGCAACCTTTCCGAAATAATTGGATATTTTGACCTCAAAATAAAACTATAAATAGTACAGTCAAAAAACTGAATTAATATTGCTGGGAAAAACATAAATCATCAAGATGTCTGGAAGTGAGGAAGACTTAAGAGATCCCTTGCTGAAGCTGAAAGAAGAGTGTGCAGAAGTCAGTCTGCTGAAATTAAAAAAACAACAACCTAAGATTATGTCAACAGTCAGTATCAACCCAGTGCAAAGAGGCAGAAAAGAAGTTGAAGTAGTCATATATCTTTCTAGGCTCAAAGGTTCACAGAGATGTTGACTGTCGTTATGACATAAAGATACTTTGGGGGAGAAACTATGACAAATATTAAAGTGCAGAGGGACATCACCCTGGCAATAAGGCCATTGTCAAGGTCATGATTTTACCAATATTGTGAAAGCCGGTCGATCAGAAAGGCTGAAAGAGGAAAAGCCATTGCCCTTGAATTGTGATGCTGGAGATAATTGCAAAGAATACATTGTACTGCAAGAAAAACAAATGATTCCATACTGGTCAGAATAAAACATGAATGATTGCTGGAAAACCTAAGAATGAAGGTGAACGTTTGATATTTTAGACACATCATGCAAAAGAGTCATTGGAAAGGTCCTTGATTCTTGGAAAAACTCAGGGAGTTGAAAAAGGTAGAAAGGATTGAATGACAACAAGAACAACACATAAAGATCTTGTCCAGCTCTGGCACATGGGTATGTGAGGAGCTACAGTGTTTCTGACCCCCAAATCTGACCCGTTATCAACTCTCTCCCTGCTCCCCCCCTCCGCTTTTTAGGTGGCAGGAGAAGGAGGGTCAAACCACCCATTACTACCTGCTTCCTCAGCTCAGACGCATATGCAGACCACATGCTTGCCCTTGTATGGATGGAGGGGTGGGGAAGGAGAGACTTTCCCCACTAGTGAGGCATGTAAGCAGTGTGCTGCAACAAGTGGGAAATCAATTGATAAAATAAGAAACCGTGAGCTAAAGGAACTATTCTGGTTTCAAATGAAACTTTATTTTCAGTACACAAAAACACTGTTCAAAAGATTTTTAAAAGTCTTTCTTCCTCTTCCACAGTCCTGATAAAAACATGTCTCCTTTCACTTCCAAACTTCTGTAAGCCACAGGAGCTTGGGGCTGGGATGGAAAAGGAAATACCGTGTGTGCGTATAAAACGGAAAGAATCCTTTGGTTCCATTCAGGTCTCCCAACAACTATTTTGAGTTCTGGAAATACCGATGCATCTAATAATTGCTTCTAATTGATTCAGTGATTGTTATCTAACTCACTACTGCTTTGTTGCTAAATTATACCTTTGAAGAAGCGCATCATGCTTATTCTGATGCATTTCTGTTCTGTTCCTGCTTCCTCCTCCTAGGGACGTAGCTCAGGCACACTTGCTAAACTGCAGAAGCACCAACCTGCTGTGCAAAACTTCCACTGCTTTTGCTATCAGCTGTTTTGCATTCCTGAAGTTTTCCCTCCAGGCAGTCCTCTGGCCAGAGATTTTACAGGGTGTCCAAGGAATGCTGGCATATCCTGGTTCTAATAGTTTGGGGGGGGGGGGCTCCAGGCTGGTGCAGGAATAAGCAGCTTTGTTGGCTGGACTTGGATAGGGAAACCCCATATTGTCCAGCTGCGGCGGGCTATGACTTGCGTGTGCAAAATATTGGCAGGTTCCAGGAATGCATTAAAGCTTCAAAAAGTGCTGAAAGCTGGGGGCCCAGACCAGACTGAGGTTTTGAAGGCTGGTTCCAGTTCAGCTTCTGCTCACTGGACAACTCGTTCAGAGAAGAAAGAAAAACAGCATGAGCTGCAATCTTGAGGACGTGGGTGGGACCGATACGTATTGAACTAAGTTGGATTTGCTTCTGAACGAATAGGTCCAGGGTTAGATTGTGCTGCGAGTGCTCGGAGACTTCTTTGTCCACAGAACTGAGGGAAGTGTCATTTCTCTCCGTGTACAGAGGATTCTCGTTATTTGTGGTCATTATGTTCTATGTGGTCACCGCGAACACTGAGTTAGCAAATACCGAAACCTCAGCTGGGAAGGTGCGCACCAGGCAACCCAAGTTTTCTGCCGCTCTGCATGTCTGCAGATGGCGGCGAAAGCGCCTCAAGTATTGATTTTGCAGTTACAAATAATTTTTTTGCGGGTAGGCAAATTCTCAAATACAGAATCCACCAGTAACAAGATTGGACCATACTTCAGAGTTTCCTGCTGGGGTTTTGTAAATGAGACCTTGCCAATTGCTAGTTCCCAAGGCCAACACGGGTCTTCCTTGGATCACCATATCTGGGTTTGGATAGTGTAGAGAACCATTAGATGTGAGATAAGTGAGGTGATGTATCCAAAGTAACTGGAGGCAAGGACAAGTTTGGGGCGTTTTTTTTTTTATTTTCTGAGGTAACCACAAATGGATGAACTCATGACCTTGAAGACCAGATTACGCATGAGCAATCACCTAATGAACAGTAACTGACACACCCCG